ATAGCAATCTGATAGATAAACAAGACATTAATAACAATCTGATAGAAACAAACAAGACATTCATTAACATATCCATTACAATCTGATAGACAAACAAACAATCTGATAGACAAACAAGACATCAATAACAATCTGATAGACAAACAAGATATCAATAACAATCTGATAGACAAACAAGACATTAATAACAATCTAATAGACAAACAAGACATTAATAACAATCTGATAGACATTTAATAACAACTTGATAGACAAAAAAGACATCAATAACAATCTGATAGACAAAACAAGACATCAATAACAATCTGATAGACAAAAGACATCAAAAAACAATCTGATAGACAAACAAGACATTAATAACACATCCATGATAGACAAACAAGACATTAATAACAATTGATAGACAAACAAAACAAGACATCAATAACAATCTGATAACAACGCACAAACAAACTGAAGAACAATCAAGACAAACAAGAATCAATTGTCTGATAACAAACAAGACATCAATAACAATCTGATAGGACAAAAAGACATCAATAACAATCTGATAGACAAACAAGACATTAATAACAATCTCATAAGACAAACAAAGACATTAAATAACAATCTGATAGACAAACAAGACATTCAATAACAATCTGATAGACAAACAATGACATTAATAACAATCTGATAGACAAACAAGACATTAATAAATCAATCAATGATAGACAAACAAGACATTAATCAATAACAATCTGATAGACAAACAAAGACAAATCAATAACAATGGACACAAAACAATCAACAATCTGATAGACAAACAAGACATTAATAAACAATCTGATAGACAAACAAGACATTAATAACAATCTGATAGACAATACAAGACATCAATAACAATCTGATAGACAAACAAGACATCAATAACATCTGATAGACAAAACAAGACATCAATAACAATCTGATAGACAAACAAGACATCAATAAGACAATCTGATAGACAAAACAAGACATCAATAACAATCTGATAGGACAAACAAGACATCAATAACAATCTGATAGACAAACAAGACATCAATAACAAATCTGATAGACAAACAAACATCAATAACAATCTGATAGACAAACAAGACATTCAATAACAATCTGATAGACAAACAAGACATTAATAACAATCTGATAGACAAAACAAGACAACAACAAGATACAACAAACAAGACATCAATAACAATCTGATAGACAACAAGACATAATAACAATCTGATAGACAAACAAGACATCAATAACAATTGATAGACAAAACAAGACATTAAATAACAATCTGATAGACAAACAAGAATAATAACAATCTGATAGACAAACAAGACATTAACAATCATCTGAATAGACAAAAAGACAAATAACACAAACAAGACATTAATAACAATCTGATAGAAAAAAGACATTAGTAACAATCTGATAGACAAAACAAGACATTAATAACAATCTGATAGACAAACAAGACAATAACAATCTGATAGGACATTAATAACAATCTGATAGACAAACAAGACATTAATAACAATCTGATAGACAAACAAGACATTAACATCAATCTGATAGACAAACAAGACATCAATAACAATCTGATAGACAAACAAGACATTAATAACAATCTGATAGACAAACAAGACATTAATAACAATCTGATAGACAAAACAAGACATCAATAACAATCTGATAGACAAACAAGACATTCAATAACAAATCTGATTAGACAAAACAAGACATTAATAACAATCTGATAGACAAACAAGACATTTAATAACAATCTGATAGACAAAACAAGACAATGATAACAAACAAGACTCAATAACAATCTGATAGACAAACAAGACATAATAACAATCTGATAGACAAACAAGACATTAATAAACAATCTGATAGACAAACAAGACATTAATAACAATCTGATAGACAAACAAGACATTAATAACAATCTGATAGACAAACAAGACATTAATAACAATCTGATAGACAACAAGACATTAGACAATTAGACAAACAAGGACATTAAATAACAATTGATAGACAAACAAGACATCAATAACAATCTGATACAAACAAGACATTAATAAACAAGATAGACAAACAAAGACATTAGATAGACAAACAAGACATCAATAACAATCTGATAGACAAAACAGACACATAAACAATCTGAATTAGACACATTAACATCTGATAGACAAACAAACCAATAAACAATCTGATAGACAACAAGACATTAATAACAATCAAACAAAGACATTAATAACATCTGATAGACAAACAAGACATCAATAACAATCTGATAGACAAACAAACATCAATAACAATCTGATAGACAAACAAGTAGACAAAACAAACATTAGAAGACAAACAAGACATAATAACAATCTGATAGACAAACAGACATTAATAACAATCTGATAGACAAACAAGACATTAATAACAATCTGATAGACAAACAAGACATCAATAACAATCTGATAGACAAACAAGACATCAATAACAATCTGATAGACAAACAAGACATTAATAACAATCTGATAGACAAAACAAGACATTAATAACAATCTGATAGACCAAACAAGACATCAATAACATCTGATAGACAAACAAACATTTAATAACAATCTGATAGACAAACAAACAAGACATCAATAACAATCTGATAGACAAAACAACATCAATACAATCCTGATAGACAAGACATTAATAACAATCTGATAGACAAACAAGACATCAATAACAATCTGATAGACAAACAAGACATCAATAACAATCTGATAGACAAACAAGACATTAATAACAATCTGATAGACAAACAAGACATCAATAACAATCTGATAGACAAACAAGACATTAGTAACAATCTGATAGACAAACAAGACATCAATAACAATCTGATAGACAAACAAGACATTAATAACAATCTGATAGTCAAACAAGACATTAATAACAATCTGACAGACAAACAAGACATTAATAACAATCTGATAGACAAACAAACAAGACATGAATACCAGTGGTGTTTATCAGCTGTCTTGGTGGGGGGGGGGCAGCTTCCTTTCCTTGCCATAGAGAAAATGATGAAGGGAAAATGGGCGGCCAAAGACAGCATCAGAGGTGTCGTGTTGGGGCGTGAGGGAAGGAGGGGAGGTTAGGGCGTGTGTGGGGGGAGGGAGGGAGGAGGGGACTGAAGCTGAAGCACGCAGATTCTTCCCCCTTCCTCTTCCCCCCCCCCCTCCCCCTTCCTGACGCCATGCTATTTTTCGTTGCTATGCGCAGATTTGCATGGTAACTGTTTTACGGGTGCTTGCAACGACACGTCTTTTGGGTTCACACTCAGGGGTCTCTCTCTCTCTCTCTCTCTCTCTCTCTCTCTCTCTCTCTCTCTCTTCTCTCTCTCTCTCTCTCTCTCTCTCTCTCTCTCTCTCTCTCTCTCTCTCTCTCTCTCTCTCTCTCCCTCTCTCCCTCCCTCTCCCTCTCCCTCTCCCCCTCTAAGTAAAGAAAAGAGAAAGAAAATTAAGAAAAAATGAAAAAGATTAAAAAATAACATCCAGCCGCCATGGAAACGAAAGAAAAAGCAAACCAAAGAGCGAAAATGACACATGATGTTTACGTCTCCGAGCCAGACCAGCCTCAGCCAGCTATTTTTTTTCTTTTCTTTTTTTTGCCTTGTTTGTTGTTTGTCTTTCGGTGGTCTTGTTTGGTAGACTTGATTGCTATGTTTTGCTTGATGGGATTCCCTTTGATGTGTGTTTATTTGGCTCTTCGATTCGAAAAAATAGAAAATGAAAATAATGATATTATCAAAAATTTGATAATAAATAAAAGGAATTCCTGAATGTAGTTTTGAGATTTTTGTTATTGATGTCCTCTTATGCCGTCTTTTTTAGGCATATATATTTTAATGACATTGCTATTACTACTTGTTTTTACTATGAATATACGCGTCGTTGCTGTTTTATCTTATTGTCGACAATGTTATCCAGCGCGGTTAAGAGAGGGAATTAATTTCTTAGAAGAATGGGTTTGTCGTTTTTAATCTTGACTTCATGAATCTTGAATTTGTTTACTGCCTTCGTCTGCTTGAGGGGAGAGAGGGGAAGGAGGGAGTAGAGGGAAGGGGGTTGACGGAGGGGAAGGAGGGAGTGGAGGAGGAGAAGGAAGGGGGGGAGGGGGGAGGGGAAGGATGGGGTTGAGGGAGAGGAAGGAGGGATGGAAGAGTGTTGAAGGAGGGGAAGGAGGGAATTGAGAGAGGGGAAGGAGGGAGGGTTGAAGGAGAGGAAAGAGGGGAAGGATGGGGTGGAGAAGAGGAAGGAGGGGGTTGAGGGAGGGGAAGGAGGGGGTTGAGGGAGGGGAAGGAAGGGCGTGGAGGGGAGGAGAGGGGATAGAAGGAGAGGAGAGGGGTTCATCCATGTGTATTAACACATTTTGTTTCTCTAGTTTTAATCTACGCTCTCCATCACCAGTGCGAATTCGTAACTTCATCTCGAGTTACGTGTTTTTCTGTGGCTTCTTTATGTTCTTATCCTTGTTTTATTGCCTCTTACTTCTCCTCATTCTGTCTTCTGTTTTCCCCTTCTTTCTCATCCTCTTCCATCCCCCTCCATCCTCTTCCCACCTGCCCTCCCCTTCCCCTCTTCCCCTTCCCTTCCTCCTTTCCCCTCCCTTCCTCTTCCCCCTTCGCTCCTTCCCTCCCCCTTCCTCCTCTTTCCCTTCCCTTCTTCTTTCCCCCTCCTCCTCTTCCCCTTCCCTTCCCCCCTTCCCTTCCCTTCTTCCTTCCCTTCCTCCTCTTCCCTTCCCCTCTTCCCCTTCCCTTCTTCCTTCCCCTTTCCCTTCTTCCTCTACCCTCTTCCCTTCCCCTCTTCCCCTCCCCTTCTCCTCTTCCCTCCCCCTCCCGCTCCCTCCCCTCCCCCACCCTTGACCTTGGAAGCCGCTGTCTCGCGGGCGTCTGCAGAGGCCTTGGCGCCGGAAGGTGGCCCCGTTTATCGATGACACGGAATGCATTCTGACGTCAGTGCGGTGTTCGTGGCGAAGTGGCGCGGTTCGGTTCTCTTGGGAGGGTATGTGGGCGGTTCTCTTGTGAGGGTATGTGGGCGGTTCTCCTGTGTGTCTTGGAGGTATGTGGGCGGTTCTCTTGGGGGTATGTGGGCTCTCTTGTGAGGGTATGTGGGCGGTTCTCTTGGGAGGGTATGTGGGCGGTTCTCTTGTGAGGGTATGTGGGCGGTTCTCTTGGGAGGGTATGTGGGCGGTTCTCTTGGGAGGGTATGTGGGCGGTTCTCTTGGGAGGGTATGTGGGCGGTTCTCTTGTGAGGGTATGTGGCGTTCTCTTGGGAGGGTATGTGGGCGGTTCTCTTGGGAGGGTATGTGGGCGGCTTCTCGGTTCTCTTGTGAGGGTATGTGGGCGGTTCTCTTGTGAGGGTATGTGGGCGGTTCTTGGGGGGTATGTGGGCGGTTCTCTTGTGAGGGTATGTGGGCGGTCTCTTGGGAGGTATGTGGGCGGTTCTTGTGAGGGTATGTGGGCGGTTCTCTTGGAGGGTATGTGGGCGTTCTCTTGTGAGGGTATGTGGGCGGTCTTGGGAGGGTATGTGGGCGGTTCTCTTGTGAGGGTATGTGGGCGGTTCTCTTGGGAGGGTATGTGGGCGGCTGTCTTGGAGGGTATGTGGGCGGTTCTGTGAGGGTATGAGGAGGTATGTGGGCGGTTCTCTTGTGAGGTATGTGGGCGTAGGTATGTGGGCGGTTTCTCTTGGGAGGGTATGTGGGCGGTTCTCTTGTGGGTATGTGGGCGTTCTCTTGGGAGGGTATGTGGGCGGTTCTCTTTGAGGTATGTAGGGTATGTGGGCGGTTCTCTTGTGATAGTATGTGGGCGTTCTTTGTGAGGGATGTGGGCGGTTCTCTTGTGGGGTATGTGGGCGGTTCTCTTGTGAGGGTAGTGTGGGTTCTCTTGTGAGGTAATGTGGGCGGTTTCTCTGGGAGGGAGGTGGGCGGATCTCTTGTGAGGGTATGTGGGCGGTTCTCTTGGGAGAGTATGTGGGCGGTTCTCTTGGGAGGGTATGTGGGCGGTTCTCTTGGGAGGGTATTGGCGGTTTCTTGTTTGAGGGTATGTGGGCGGATGCCTTCTTGTGAGGGTATGTGGCGGTGTCTCCTTGGGAAGTATGTGGGGTTCTCTTGGGAGGGTATGTGGGCGGTTCCTCTTGGGGAGGTATGTGGGCGTTCCTTTGAGGGTATGTGGGCGGCTGTCTTGGAAGGGTATGTGGGCGGTTCTCTTGTGAGGGTATGTGGGCGGTCAAGGGTATGTGGGGCGGTTCTCTTGTGAGGGTAATGTGGGCGGATCTCTTCGGAGGGTATGTGCGGTTCTCTGTTGTGAGGGTATGTGGCGGTTCTCTTGGAGGTATGAGTATGTGGGCGGTTCTCTTGGAGGGTATGTGGGCGGGTTCTCTTGTGAGGTATGTGGGGCGGTTGTGAGGGTATGTGGGCGGTTCTCTGTGAGGGTATGTGGGCGGTTCTCTTGTGAGGGTATGTGGGCGGTTCTCTTTGGAGGGTATGTGGGCGGTTCTCTTGTGAGGGTATGTGGGCGGTTCTCTTGAGAGGGTATTGTGGCGGTTTCTCTTCTTGTGAGGGTCTTGGGGCGGTTCTCCTTGTGAGGTATGTGGCGGTTCTCTTGTGAGGGTATTGGGCGTTCTCTTGGAGGGGTATGTGGGCGGTTCTCTGTGAGGGTATGTGGGCGGTTCTCTTTAGTGGGTATTTTGGGCGGTTTCTCTGTGTAGGTATGTGGGCGGTTTCTCTTTGAGAGGGTATGTGGCGTTTCTCTTTGGAGGGGTATGTGGGCGGTTCTCTTGGAGGGTATGTGGCGGTTCTCTGTGATATTTATTATGTGGGCGGTTCTCGTGAGGGTATGTGGGGTGTGAGGGTATGTGGGGCGGTTCTCTTGTGAAGGGTATTGGGGCGGTTTCTCTTGTGAGGGTAGTGTGGGCGTTCTCCTTGGAGGGTATGTGGGCGGTTCTCTTGTGAGGGTATTTGGATCGGTTCTCTTGTGAGGTATGTGGGCGGTTCTCTTGGGAGGNTGAGGGTATGTGGGCGGTTCTCTTGTGAGGGTATGTGGGCGGTTCTCTTGTGAGGGTATGTGGGCGGTTCTCTTGTGAGGGTATGTGGGCGATTCTGTCGTAAGGGATTGTTGTGTACTTTGCTGGCGTGAGGATGTGGGGCCGGTTCAATTTTAAGGACATGTGGCCGGTTCCTTTGTGAGGGCGTGGTAGCAGATGAATGAAAGAATGAAGTTTAGAATGATGGAAGGATGGAAGATTAGAAGAATGGAAGGATCGAAGTTTAGAAGGATGGAAGGTTGGAAGTTTAGAAGGATGGAAAGGGAGACAGAGAGGGATAACGATAACAAAAATAATTTTGTTTATCTGTTTTGGACCTTTTTGGAAATCTCTCTGTCGTCGAACCTGTAGCAGATCTTTCCTTTTCTTTTCTTGTTTTTCTTATTTTCTTATTTTCGCCTTTGCCTTTTTTACATTTTATTCCTCCTTTTCGTACTTATCTTCCTTTTTTCCTTTTCCTTCCCCTACCCCCCATTTTCCCCCCGCATCCTTTTTTTTATTTTTTTCTCTCCTTCCCCCCTTTTCCCCTCTCATCCTTTTATTTTTCCCCTCTTTTCCCTCTCCTCGCCGCAAGCACTGAAAGCGTTGACGTCACACCGGCGGCACACACGTACACTCAAGCGCGCACGGCCGAGGTCTCCGGTGCTCTGGCAAAAGCCAACGACACGGTCTGAACCTGTTCTGATTCGAGAGCAAGTGTGATGGAATGCTGTCCGCCGAGGAATGGGGCCGTGGGGAAGGGGGGAGAAGGGGGAGGGAGATAGAGGGGAAGGGGGAGGAGGGATAGATGGGAAGAGGGGAGCTAGAGGGAAGGAGGAAATGGAGGGGGAGGGGGAGGGGGTAGAGGGGAAGAGCGTAGGTAGGGGATAGAGTGGAAGGAGGAAAGGAGGGAGGGGAGGGGGATAGAGGGGAAGAAGTGAGGTAGGGGGAAGGAGGGAATGGAAAGGGGGAGGGGGAAATAGAGGGGAAGAGGGAGACCAGGGTGAATGGGGAGATAGGGGGAAGGAGAGAATGGAGAAGGGGGAGAGGGGAAGAGGGAGGTAGGGGGAAGGAGGGAATGGAACTCGTGGGGAGGGGGGAAGGGAGGGGGAAAGAGGAAAGAGGGAATGAGAGCGAAGAACAGAGGGGAAGGGAGGAGATATTAGGAGTCTGGGGTGAGGGAGAAAAGAAGGGGATGGATGATAGAAAAAGGGAAGAAAGGGGAAGGAGGTGAAAAAGAGTAAAATGAGAGGATGAAAAGAGAAGGAAGAGACACGGAAACGGGGAAGGACTTAAAGGGGGAGGAAAAGGGAAGAAAAAAAGGAGGCAAGGGAAGGGGGAGAGTAAATTGAGGAATAGAGGAGGAAAGTAAATAGCGGGAAGAAGGAGGAAGAGAGGGAAGAAGGGGAGAGGGAGGTTAGGGTATGGGAACGGGTAAGAGGTAGTCAGTGTAGATACGAGAGGAGGAGGAACTGTCGAGGGGAAGGAGAAGAGAGGAAGGAAAGGGAGAGAAGAAAAGAAAGAAGAGAAGAATAGAGAGGAGAGGAGAGGAGAGAAGAGAAGAGAAGGGGAAGAGAAGAGAAGAGCAGAGAGGAGGGGTACGGGAGATGAGAAGAAGAAAAAGAGAAGAGGGCAGAGGGGAGGGGAATGGAATTGAGGGGAAGGGAGAAAAGAGGAGGGAGAGGAGGAACCGCTTAAAAGGGGATGAGGAGGAGGAGGAGGAGACCCGAAGGATGTTCCACGTGTTCAGGAAGTGCGAATTTCACTGCGTTCGACCTGGTCCGTCTGAGGCTACTTCCCCCCCCCCTCAACCCCCCCTCCCCCCTCCCCTTCCCACCTTAATGGTAAGTGGGTATGGGAGGATAACGGGGCGGCGAGAGATACCCCCCCCCCTCCGCCTGCCCGCGACAAGGTGACCTCGCGAGCTTATTGATGAAATGTCTCGCTGGAGGAATGCACCGTATTTGTTGCGTCCACGTGTCACTTGCCAGCACGCGTCGTCAGGAAGGGGGCAGAAAGGGGAAGGGGAAGGGGAGAGGAGGGGGCAGCGAGGGGAGGGAGAGAGGAGGGAGGGAGCGAGAGGGGAGAGGGAGAAGAGGGGTAAGTAAACGGAGAGGGGGAGAGGAAGGGGAAGCGAGAGGGGAGAGGGAGAAGAGGGGGAAGTAAATAGAGAGGGGGAGAGGAAGGGGGAAGCGAGAGGAGAGGGAAGGGTGAGGAAGGGGGAAGCGAGAGGAGAGGGGGAGGGGGAGGAAGGGGGGAATAAATAGAGAGGGGGAGAGGAGGTGGGAAGCGAGAGGGGAGAGGAAAATGTGGGGGAATAGAGAGGGAGAGACGAGGGGGAAGCCAGAGGGAGAGGGAGAGGAGGGGGAAGCAAATCGGGAGGGGGAGGGGGAGAGGAGATTGGCAAAGGATGAGGATAGGGGAGGGGGAGAGGAGGAGGGATGGTAGGGAAGGGGAAGGGGAGAGGTATGCTGTAGATGCCCCAAATCGATTTCTCGTATTTGTCATAACGACCGGCAAAGTCTACGAGCAACGGCGGAGGTTGCACACACTCACGTAGGGAGATTGTGACAGAAAGGTAGACATAAATAGATCAGTTATTGCAATGGTATATCCCACGTGCATTTATATACGTACTGAGTGTATTTATAAAAAATAAGCGACAAGAACGGATGATGTTTGGCAGTTAATGGAGTTTAGAACATTTATGTAGATGCTGGCAGGAAGAGGCGGCGCGCAGATAGAGAGACAGTTTGACAGGGACAGGAATATGAATATACATTCCACATGCATTGACATCGGTGCTCATATGTATATAGAAAAAATAGCGTCTAGCGGATAATAGTTTCCAGGATCTATGCATAGTACATGTTAGCAAGTACGAGCTGCTTGAATCTGTTTACCGCCAAAACTACTCATTACCCCGCGGTCGCTTGTTAAGGACTGTATAAATAGCAGCCGATGTCGCTCAATGCTGACTTCGTAAACATCAGGCGATGTCGCTTTAGAAGAATTATATAAATGCTTGCCGATGTCGCTAAATTCTGACTACGTAGATATCAGCCGATGTCGCTTTATGCTGAATACGTAAATATCAAGTGATGTCGTTTTAAAAGGATTATATAAATACCTGCCAATGTCGGTTATTCCAGACTACATAGAAACCAGCCGATGTCGCTTTATAGAGTTAAAAAAAAAAAAATACCAGCCGATGTCGCTTAAAACGGAATGCATAAATAGCCGATGTCGCTCCATAAGAATTATATAAGTATCTGCAGGTACCGATACACTTAAACAAGTCAGTTTTGCTCGATGGCCAACCCGTTTGTATTTTTTTTCTTTGCAAACTTGAACTGTCGCGGTTTTGAATTGTCGGAAGAAATCGTTAACTGTTGCTTGTCGGTGACGGTCGTGGGCGTGCGGGCGTGCGGGCGGGCAAGCTCTCCGTTCATTCAGGGAAGCGACTCGAGCTCCTGACATTCCTGAGTGCTTCGTGCGGCGGGGCTGGTTGAGTCCCCCCCCCCTCGCCCAGTCCCGCCCCCCACATTCCTCCTTCTTCCCACCCTCTTCACCTTCTCCCCTCCCTCTTTTAACACCCACCCGTTCTCGTCTCCCGCCTCTTCTCCGTTCTCCCTCCTTCCTCTCCCCTCCTCTTCATATCCCCCCCTCCCCTAATCCCCCACTTCTCCCTCCTCTCACTCCCTCTCCCCTATTCCTCATCATTCCCCCTCCCTCCGTCAACCCCTCCTTCCCCCTTCCTCCTTTCACTCCCTCCCCTCCCCTTCCCCCTCCTCGTCAGCTGTAGTCAGCTTTCCCGCCCACTAATCATCTCTTTTGATCCCCTCCTTTATGCCTTCATGTCACCCGTGCCGGAGAGTCTGTATGGGCGTGCGGGAGAGTCTGTATGGGCCGTGCGGGAGAGTCTGTATGGGCGTGCGGGAGAGTCTGTATGGGCGTGCGGGAGAGTCTGTATGGGCGTGCGGGAGAGTCTGTATGGGCGTGCGGGAGAGTCTGTATGGGCGTGCGGGAGAGTCTTTGTAGCGTGCGGGAGAGCCTGTATGGCGAGATGGGACGTGCGAGAGAATTTGTATGGGCGTGCGGGAGAGAGTCAATTTGGGCGTGTGAGGCCTTGTTTTGCTTCGACTTGAATCCTGTGTGAAATGACTTTTATCTTGTGTGCCTTTTTTTTCTATTTTGTATTATTTTTTATCGTATTGAAGGAGAGGGAGAAGACTTTTTTCAGTTTTTTTTTTTTTTTCTTTTTTTTTTACGGGGTAAAACTTGACCTTCTCATTAGAGTTTAAAAAAAAAAAAAAAGTATGATTATATACACAGGTTCCTTTTTTTCCTCGGCCGGACTCCTTCTAGCTCCAGGGTCCCATAGCAATTGCTTCGTACCCTCCACGAGACAGGCCACTCGGGATGGTTTGACGTGCGAGACGGTAAAAACGTTAGGTATGCCGTTTTTTGTTCATTTTCTTTTTATTATTATTATTGCTCCTCCTCTTTCTTCTTCTTTTACTTCTTTTTCTTGTTCTCCCTCCTCCTTATCCTTATCCTCCTTCTTTTTCTTCTTCTTCTACTCCTCCTCCTCCTCCTCCTCCTTCTCTTCCTCTTCCTCCTCTTCCTTCTCCTCTTCCTTTTCCTTTTTCTCCTCTTCTTCCTCCCCCTCTTCTCTTTATAAACGGACCGATTTCAAGTTGCTTCCCTTTTTCTTCTTTAAAAAAAGGATAATGATAGAAATAGATAGATGAAATAAATCAATGAATCAGTCCATAAAGAACCCAGGATACAGGACCGCCCCGCCGCCTGCTTGGGCCCGAGCGCTGGCACTGGAGTCGCGCCGCCCAAGTGGCTGAGATTAACCTCTGGATGAAACTAGGATGGAGTCGGTTCCGCATTGTGTAAAAGGTAGTTTATATGCTGTTTAGGCGGTAGTTTGTAGTTTATGGGTCGATTCTGCGTTATGGAGGGTAGTTTGTAAGTTATATGTACCTTGGCGGTATGTGGCGCGCTATAGGAATGGGTGATGGCGGTGGGGAGACGGTTTTGGGATTTTTGAGAGGGAGGGAGGGAGGGATGGAACGCATGGAGGGTTGAAGGGTCGGAGGGAAAGAGGGAGGGAGGGAGCGAGGAAAGGGGTT